TATATACATATATATATCTCCATTTACTCTATAATATTTCCTGAGGGCCAAGCATTATTTTAGACATTCAGGATGTTGCACTGACAGACTTAGGCCTTCACTTCGTAAATGTTATAATCTACAGGGATTAAAAGGAGAAGGGGAGTTTAGAAATAATCATATTCAAACTTTATTATCTACAGACAGAAATTGACAGTGATGTGTTGACTTGACCATCATTAAAAAACTGTATAATGACAAAGCTAGTATTCAAATATTGTTGCATATGTTTAACAATGAATTGTATGAATGTACTCTTTTGCTGTGTCCTCTGAACCTAACACAATGTTGGGTGTACACTCTTGGCACCCAGTAATAATTTGCTTCCTCCATAAATAAGTGAATTATTTTGCAAATTTGCTCTTCACAGTAACTTCTGTAGTACCTAGATATTCTAAACTGTAAAACCAGGGACAAATCAGTCTCTGGTTTTTGTTTGTTTTTAAGAATTTTGCAACTCTCAATACAATAAAAAGTATAACTCAATTTAAAAAAATGACTTCATTATATGACATGTACTTATCACTTTAGAACTGTGCATAATGATCTTCTGCTTCTGATTGTGATGAACTACTTATCAATAATTCTAACAAAAGCAGTTAGAACAGTCATAAAAATCCAAAATGAAAAACAGGAAAAAGCCAAAATTTCATGGACTAGATCTGCAGAGATGAGCTGGCTGAAGAGATACATGGATAATCTAGATATTGGACTTGTCAAATATGAACCTTAGATAAACCTGTGATGAATTTGTAAGAGAAATAATGAACAAGATACAGAATTTTATTGAAAAATACTGATCTATAAGAAATAATCAAATGGCTACTTTAAAAACTGGGAAATAATATCCTATCTAATAAAAGACAAAAAAGGTAATTGACCATACCTTTGCTATGCTTACCATTGGCTAATCAGGGCGATATGCAAATTAACCGCCAACCAAGATGGCGGCGGCAGCCACATAGCTGAAGTGAGCAGGAGGCTTGCTTGCTCCAGTGATGAAGGAAGCCAAGGTTACCCGCCTGCAGCGGCCCGGCCCTGAGCTCCAAAAGCAACAAAGTTTCAATTATAGAAGGTAAATAAATACCCCCCCCCCAAAAAAAAGAAAAAAAGGACACCCAAGGGGACACCCACCCTGATCTGGGACACCCTTCAGGGCAATCCAACTGGCCCCCACCCATGCACCAGGCCTCTATCCTATATAGTAAAAGTGTAATATGCAAACTGACCCTAACAGCAGAAAGACTGGAAATGACTGGTCACTATGACACACACTGACCACCATGGGGCAGATGCTCAATGCAGGAACTGCCCCTCTGGTTGTCAGTGCGTTCCCACAAGGGGGAGCTCTGCTCAACCACAAGTCAGGCTGATGACTGCCAGTACAATGGTGGTGGTGGGAGCCTCTCCTGCCTCCTCAGCAGTGCTAAGGATGTCCGACTGCAGCTTAGGTCTGCTCCCTGGGGGATAAACACCTGCTGGCTTAGGCCTGCTCCCTGGGGATTGGGCCTAAGCTGGCAAGTGAACACCCCCCGAGGGCTGCCGGGCTGCCAGAGGGATGTCTGATTGCCAGCTTAGGCCCAATCCCCCCAGGGAGCAGTCCTAAGCCAGCAGGTGGTCATCCCCTGAGGGGTCGCAGACTTTGAGAGGGCACTGGTCCAGCTGAGAGACTCCCCCTCCCGAGTGCACAAATTTTTGTGCACTGAGCCTCTAGCGATTATATAATTAAAAATAAGAACTCAATAGGTAAATTTAAAAGCAGATATGGCAGATGGTGAAAAGGTCCAACATGTATTTGATGCATTCCTGAAAGTGAAAGAGAAAGAAAATGAGGCATAAGTCATATTTGGGGAAAAAAAAAAGATGATATATAACAATATTCCAAAATGTATGAAGACATTAACCCACAACTCAGGAGTCTATTAAGCATCCAATCTGGAACAATGCAAATGCATAATGAGATTCTTTTTCCCATTGTGTATTTTTGACTCCTTTGTCATAGATTAATTGACTGTCTATGTGTGGATTGTTTCTGGGCTCTTAATTCTGTTTTATTTATCTATGTGTCTGATTTTGTGCTAGTACCATAGTGTTTTGATTACTATAGCTTTGTAGTATAGTTTGATATCAGGAAGCATGATACCTCTAGCTTTGTTCTTTTGCCTCAATATTGCTAAGATTATTAAGATTTCAATATTTTCCCTCCAAATTGAAGATTCAACAAAACTCCAATATAAATCCTAGTAGACATTTTGGGGATATAAAAATTAACAAGTTAAATCTGAAATTTATATGAAAATTCAAAGACTAAGACTAACCAAGATAATCTTGAGGGCAAAAAATATGCATGGAATATATTGCCATATTTAAAAACTTAACTATAAATAAAGGCCTTATATGTATAGCTCACATCTTTATTTATTCCTTTCAGTGAACACTTAGTTAGCTTTGGCTATTCAGGCTCTTTTGTGTTCCTTATAAAATTTTAGGATTATTGATTCTAGTTTTGTGGAAAATACCATTGGTAGTTTGATAGAGCTTGCATTGAATCTGTAGATTGCTTTGAGTAGGCCCAGTGTAATCTGGATAGTCCACACAGGATGGATAAAGAGTGTCAGAGTGAGAGATGTGATGACAGAAGCAGACCGTTAGAGTGATGTTATTGCTGGAAGGAGACTGCAAGCAATGGGATGTAATTAGCCTTCACAAACTGGAAAAGACAAGGAAACACATTCTCCTCTAGAGCCTCCAGAAGGAATGAAGGCCTGATGACACCTTAATTTTAGCTCAGTAAGACCCGTTTTAGACTTCTTGCCTTTAGAACTATAAGAGAATAAGTTTATATTGGTTTAAGCCAGTAGGCCTTCGGTAATTTGTTACAACAGTAATAAAAAACTAATATGTATTAATGATTATACAATACTTTATATATAATACAAAATATGATATTTTAAGGACAAAAACTATAGACAAGTAGAAGAGAATGTAGAATTCAGAAATAGATGAAACATTTAAAGAGACAATGGGTTTTTTAAAAAGGTACAAGAATAATTCAATCAGAGAAAGGTGAGTCTTTTTAACAAATGGTACTACAAAAACTGGATATCAGTATGGAAAAAAATATAACTTAACCCCATCTCACAACATGCATTAAAATTAATTTGAGATAAATGGTAGAGCTAAACATAAAACCTAGAACTATCCTTAAAGGAAAAGAGAGAATATTTTTGCAACATAGACTATCAAAGTTTAATAGGCTGCAAAAAAGTTTTAGAATTAATCAAAATTAAAAATCACCAGGAAAATGAATAGTAAGCAGAAGACTAAAAAAAAAAAAATTCCACAACATATGTCTGATGAAGGACTTATATCTAGAATAATATTGAGAACTCTTAAAACTCAATAACACAATGCAAAACAACAGAATTTTTTAAATGAACAATGGAAAATGACTTCAGTAGACATAACAAAGGAAGATGTACTAATGACCAATTAAAAACAGAAAAAAAGTAAGATTTGGTCATTGGAGAAATGTAAGTTACAATAGCAGTGAGATATCCTCTATAGACCCTATAGCATAGAAAAATTAAAAGCACTGATAGCATTAAATATTAACAAATATGTGAAGCAATTAGAACTCATACATTGCCAGTGAGAGTGTAGAATGGTTCAACTACTTCAGGAAAGACTGGCAACAACCCACTCCTAGGTATTTATGCAAAAGGAATAGCAACATATGTCCGCAAAAATACTTGAACATGAATGTTCATAGCAGCTTTGTTCATAATAGCAAAAAAATGTGAAATAATCTAAATGTCTAGGGACAAGTGAATTCATAAGAAAATAGTGGTATTTACATACAATGGAATACCATTGGCAATAAAGAGAATAAATTCAATATGCAACTATATGGGTGAATCTCAAAACCATCATACTGAGAGAAAGAAGGCAGATACAAGGAGGTACACATGATATGATTTTATTTTTAAAAGTTCTATAAAAAAACTATTCTATTGCACAAAATAATCAGATCAGCAATTACCTCTATATGCCAGTGCTTAGCTAGAAGTAATACAAGGAAAATATTCTATCTTAATTGGTTACTCATGAACATGGGTTACTCCTGTGTATGCATCAAATTGTACACATATGATAGGTATATTATATATGCAAATAATACTCAAGTGAATATAAAATAGTTTAAAAATAAAAAATATTTTTATTTAATCACTTTAGTTACAAGAGAAGGTATCATTTGTTCTTGGTATTGAGGGGGGAAAAGGATTGTCCAGGTAAGAAAATGGTTAGAAAACATTTAAAAGCAGGCTGCAATCTGAGAAGATAGTTGATCATATATTTTTCTTTCCCT